AAAAAAAACAAATCAATAGGAATTTTAAATAGGATATTCCAGTTAAAGCTCTTGTTTAAGACCATACTGATAGTCATTACTGCAAAGCCATAGAGAAAGGTACACAAGACAATTTCCACAGTGCTACCTTTATTCAGGTGTTCTTATATTTATTGTGATGATTAATAACAGTCTACAGAATTTTAAATAATTCACCCGTGTATTGGTGGAATTCCCACTCAAGGCATCTTTTTTCCTCATTCCTTCAATAGGGATTTCTGAAAAGTAATTTCTAGCTCACTTTAAAAGGAATAAAGGGCAGTGAAACAATACCATACGTGTGTCGTATCAACACAATTAAGATATACTAAAAAATGTTTGTGTTAGCACTCAGACTCAGAATTCAAAACAGAGGTTTTAGTGATATAAATCACTTCGTTGCTATGATTTAGGTTTGAAAACAAAGTCACATCTCTGAGAGGAACAAAAAAACAAGCTTACCTCTTTGTTCCTGGCAAATGCAGATACCAGCTTTCCATGTGCAACAAATACCAACATACGATCTGCAGCCAAAGACGAGATGTCCTCTGGGAGTGCATTGCCTGAGAAAATCAAGGATTATCTTTCCTTTTTCAAAAGTTTCTAGTTTGTGCCATTCCACAGGCACAGAATCACACTTTATAAACAAAACTAAAACCTGCAAAATAGCTAATTAAAAGCATGCAAAGGAACAAGTAAAGGTTTATTCCAAGCTGAAAATAGAAGAAAAGAAACACAATGTTTCAGCCTTGCAGCTTTCTACGGGTTGTGTTTCTTGCTTTCTCTTTTCACCATGGAATAAACCTTTACCTGTTCCACGTGGAAGCAAGCCTGACAACATAACTGTAGATTTGAACAGCCAATGCAACCTTTTATTTGGCTAAATCTCTGACTTCATTTACAGCTAACAAAGGTTAGCTTTGTTAACCTTGTTAACCCCCAATTTCATAGTCCCAGTTTACAAAACTACCATTTTACAAGACAAGTTTTACCTTGATCATGGAGACTGGACAAGAAAATGGCCAATCCAGCCAGGCAAAAACCCTTACCTTCAAATCTGTCTGTACTAATTTCACTTAAAATTAAAATAAGGGCCTTACATTTAAAAATGCATTTGGTACGTTAATTTTTTAACAAGAAAAGATAACTGGGAATTCTGCCTTCAATTATTCACCGATTTCTAAGAGCGCCTCCTATTGTCTCACCTAAAGTCAACACAAGGCTCAGGTATAATTAAATACATAAAAGGCAGCCACCTGTTTTAATAATAATGAAAACCATGGAAGGGGAATTAATTATATAGTAAATTTGTATGTAAAATATAAACACATAAACAATGCTTGGACCTTCAAAACTCATTTTCAAGTATGTATTTTGTATTTGTAAATATGATCAACTTTAAATTGAATCGGTCATTATCGACATGGAGTTCTTATTTTCATGGCCATCAAACAAAAGTCTCTCTCAAACAGAGTAAATACCAGTTTCACCATAAACAGCAGAATACACAGTTAGGCTGTTAGTTTAATAAACACTTAGGAATTTCTATTACCTGACATGCCTGGAACATTTAAAATTTTCCTCTATTCGTGTAGAAATATATCTTACATCATATACCTCAGTAGGCATCTAATGTCTGATCTTTTCATTCTATAGCATTAGTCAGAATTTAATAAGTACCTTCTTTCATTTCTTTTTGATGTATGGTTACTATGTCGTGTGGGGCTATTCAGGAATGGGTATTGCTATATCTGCCTATGCGAAATTGCTGCAGAAACTTTTATTTTTAGTTTCTCTTCCAGATGTCCTTAAATTTACAGATCATTCCCTCTCAGTGGAAGAAATCCACCATTATTCCTATTCCTAAAACTGCCAAGCCTAGTAGCCTTAACAGCTACAGGCCTGTTGCCATCACATCTCTCCCAGCAAAAACTCTTGAGAGAACAGTGAAGCAACACATCACAAAGAGCATACAAGCCCTCACTGACCCCCTGCAATATGCACACAGGGAAAGGAGGGGAGTAGATGATGCAATACACACATTGTTAAATCTGGTCTATCATCATCTGTACAAACCAGGGACCTCTGTAAGGATTTTATTTGCTAGCTTCTCCTCCGCTTTCAATGCAATACAACCACTGTTGCTTGCACAGAAACTCAAAGTACTTCAATCTGAATTGTTAGTAGATGGTTGCTAGACTTCCTAACTAACAGGTCTCCACAGGTCAAATTGGAGAAGTGCTTATCTGACATTCACTACACATCAATTGGATCAACACAGGGCTGTGTTTTGTCCCCTCTGTTGTACATTTTGTACACTAATGATTGCATAAGCAAACACACAGATAGACATCTCATTAAATTTGCTGATGACACAGCCCTGGTCAATTTATTTAAGGACGCAGAATACCATCATGGGCCCATTCTAAATGATCTTACTAACTGGTGCAACAAGTTCTCCCTAAATTTTTTAAAAACAAAGGACCTGGTTATTGATTTTAGGAAAAATACTACACCCCTTCAGCCCACTGTAACTGATGGTCAGCCTGTTGAAATTGTCGATGACAAGTACTTGGGACTGGTCATTGACAAAAACCTAAATTGGGACAAATGTTGAGACTATCTATAAAAAAAAGGTCAACAGAGACTTTTCTTTCTTAGAAAACTCAGCTACTTTAAGGTAGATAAACTAAGAAATTGTAATAGGCTGGGTAAATTAGTGAATATAAGTGGCAAAATAATCAAATCTACTTAAGCATCCTTTACAAATGTAGGGTGACTAAGAAAGCCAAAAGCATTATGGAGTGTGTCTCACCCCCTCCATTGTGAATTTACACATCTCCTTTCTGAATTTTGTAAAACCAACAGACTCAGGAAATCTTTAATTCCCACTGCAATTACACTCCTAAACAATGCAAAGTAACTACCTTGTCTCTTGATTCTTGTCTTCTGTAACACTACTATATTCTCTGACTGTGGCTTAAAATAAATTTCCCCTAGGGGACAATAAAGCTTGAATTGAAACTGTAAACTTGGACAAAGTAAAGGCTGACTCAATCACTCCCCATTATAAGCAGTTTCTGGATTACTAACAAGTGTGTGTGAGAGGTCACAACTGAACAATCTCACACTGGCGTTAACTAATGTGGTTTAAATACCACATGGGTAAATAGCAGCACCATAACCTGTATAGCCTCTTCAGATCCAGTTGTGCCAGGGAGCCCAAAGAGAACAAAATGGCAAAGGAACCTGTAAGCAAGTTCAGCCAGACACTACCATCACTCCCTGGCCAAGCTCCTCCCCTCTTCTCACCCACCTCCTGCTCTCATCACTCACACCCTACTCTTGGACTTTCACTTCTCTCTGCTACTTATCAAGACCTACTCCTCAGTTCCGGTTATCCGCACCCCTCACAACTGATTTCATGCTGCACCTAATCCGACCAATTTCCTTACACCTGTCATTTCTAGCCAACAGGCTGGAAAACCGATTTCCTATCCAACAGAGTGAGGGAGGCCTGGAGAGGGCCAATGAGATGAATCTTTTCTTCAACAGATTCGATACAGGGTCCACTGTCCATTCACCTCACTGGCCTTCACCCCAGACACCCTCTTCATGTCCTCAGTCACCCCATGATGTGATCCCTCCTACTCCTACTCCATCTTCCCCTGCCCTCCTCGGCCTATCCATCACAGCTGACCAGGTCAGAAGAAGGCAGCGTGTCCTGACGGTGTCAGCTCCAGGGTGCTAAAGATCTGTGCGGGCCAACTGGGTGCAGTACATCTTCAACCTCAGCCTCAGATTAGAAAAGGTTCCGATGCTCTGGTAGACATCTTGCCTGGTGCCACTACCCAAAAAGGGGCACCCTAAAGTCTTGAATGACTACAGACCAGTGGCACTTACATCACACCTAATGAAAACTCTGGAAAGGCTTGTACTGGACCACCTCAGAACCCTGGTGAGTACAGCACTGGACCCCCTGCAGTTCGCCTACCGGTCACACCTGGGAGTGGAGGATGCAGTCATCAATCTGCTACACAGAGCTAACTCTCACCTGGAGAAGACAGGGAGCATTGTGAGAGTTATGTTCTTTGACTTCTCCAGTGTCTTTAACACCATCCATCCACCTTTACTGAGAGATAAGCTAAGGGCGGCGCAGGTGGATACTCCCCTGCTGTCCTGGGTTATAGACTATCTGACCTGCAGGCCACAGTACGTACGGCTACAGAGCTATGTGACCGAACAGATTGTTAGCAGTACTGGGGCTCCACAGGGGACTGTCCTTGCTCCATTCCTGTTCACCTTTTACACCTCTGACTTCAGGTACAACTCTGAGACATGTCATCTGAAGAAGTTTTCGGATGACTCTGCAATTGTGGGGTGTATTAGAGAGGGGAGGGAGGAGGAGGAATATAGGAGCTTGATTACCAGTTTTGTGGAGTGGTGTCATCTTAACCATCTCCAGCTTAACACCAGCGAGACCAAATAAATTATCTTTTACTTTCTAAGGAATAAGTCTCCGCTGAACCCTGTTTCCATCCAGGGTGAGGACATAGAGGGCGTACATTCCTACAAGTACTTAGGGGTACACCTGGATGATATGCTGGAGTGGTCTGGTAACACTGACGCCCTGTACAAGAAAGATCAGAGCCAACTCTATTTTCTTAGGAGACTCAGGTCCTTTGGTGTGTGTGGAACACTGCTACACATTTTTTATGAATCAGTGGTGGCGGCGGCCATCTTCTACGCTGTTGTGTCCTGGGGCAGCAGCATCATGACAAAAGATGCAAATAGGCTCAATAAACTTATCAAGAAGGCTAGCACTGTGTTGGGGATGAGCCTTGACCCCATGGAGGTGGTGGCTGAGAGGAGAATGCTGACCAAGCTCACAGCCATCATGAACAACACCTCACATCCACTTCATGGCACTGTTACTGGGCAGCGGAGCACATTTAGCAATAGACTGCTCCAGCTATGGTGTTCAAGGGAACGTTTCCGCAGGTCTTTCCTCCCGGCGGCTGTCAGGGTGTATAACACTGCCCTGGGCTAGGACTGTTAGCCCTTCATTTGCTCCTCTATGGACAGCATGTTTACTCCATTGTACTTTTTGGACAATCAGTCTGTATAAACCTATGCACATTTTACACATATTTTATTGTTTTTACAGTGACTATGATCAGCACATTTTGCACACACCTATGTATTTATTTATTTTTATTTATTTTGTTGTCTTTTGTTTTATAACTATTCTGATGTCTGTTTTGCTTGTCTTGGGCTGAACTGCTGTAACACATCAATTTCCCTACGGGATTAATAAAGTATTATCTATCTATCTTCACTACACATCAGGACTCTCACTGAAACCAGGATCTCCCCTGATAAGTCCACCCTGCTGCCTGCATCTTATCTCATAGTCCCTGTGCTTTTGGACAGCACAGCAAGACTGGATTCCTACTCTCTCCCTCCTGGCAGCTCCATCTTTGCCTCTTTTTTACTCTGACATAATCATTTTGAGTTTAAAGTAACTGTCCCCTCACAGCTACTTATCATCATCATTTACCAC